AAGCTGGCCAATAACTGTTCAGAAGATTAGCCTTCTTCCTAACTGGACTGTTTAAAGAATATCAATTGATACAGATCATTTTAAGTTTAACGCATGCCAATAAATGTTCGGAAGTTTAGCCTTCTTCCTAACTAGACTGTTTCCTGAATATCAATTGAAAAAGATTGGTCTAAACTTAACGACTGTTAACAGCAAATATAACAGCAGCTCTTGTTCAAACCAGACGATATTTAATGAATGTTAACGCGAGATGGAAACGCTGGCATTGTTCACGACTGGAGTATGCATACTGAATGTCAACAGGTGATGGAAAATTTGGCCTTCTTTCAGCACGAAAAAGCTTAATGAATATTTTTAATCGATCGGCTGTCTGTCTACAGGCAAATTTCCTTATTCGTTAGATCAGCAACAGATGTTACGTCTGATAATGTTCCAGACCTGACTAATCTTAATGAAGGTCAACGAGAAATTGGTCTTTGTTCAGAAAAAGACAAAAGCTTAACAAATATCATCAATATACGGAGAGTCAAGACTAATTCCGTAACCGACGAAAAATTGAGAGGTCTTTATTTTTAAAATCCTATTAAATGTCGAGCCCACTCCTAGAAAAAGCTTTCCTGTGTCAGTAAGTCCAGTCTTTCTTTTTTATATAACGGATATAATCTGGGCTGCGGATGTACCCTATGGAGGCTAAGGCTGGGCGGTGGCTGTACTCTGCTTTGGATATTCTCTGGATGGTGGGGATATTCTGTGTTGAGGATATACAATACGCTGTGGATATACCCTCGAATGTGGCTATCATCTGGGCCTGGTATATACATTGGGCTGTGGATATACTCTGGGATACGGATGTAGTCTGGGCTGTCGGAATTCTCTGGGAGGTGGTGATATTCTGGGCTAACGTTGTACAGTGGCCTGCGATATACTCGTGGTTGTGGCTATACTCTGGCTGGTAGCTATAAATTGGGCTGAGGGTATTCTCTGACGGTGGGCATATTCTGTCTTGAGGATATGCACTGGGCTTCGGCTATACTTTAGGCTGTGTGTATATTATGGCCGATGGTTATACACTGTGTTGTTGGTATACAGAGTGCTGCGGATATATTTTGGGCAGCTGGGATAATCTGGGGTGCCGATGTACTCTGGCAAGGAAATATACTCTGAGCTGTGGGTATTCTCTGGGCTTATGGCATATTTGGTCTACGGATATACTCTAGAATGTGGCTATATTTTGGGCGCTGGTTATACTCTGGTCTGCGCAGGTATTCTGGGAAGAGAATATACTCTGGGTTGTGGGTATTCTCTGGGCGGTGGGGACATTCTGGGCTGAGGATATGCACTGAACTGTGGATATACTCTAGAATGTGGCTAAATTCTGGACGTTAGGTATACCTGGGCTGTGCGTATAGTGTAGTCTGTTATTCACACAAATACGGTGTTTTATTTTGCTAAACTAAGTCTTTATACAGAAAATATCACCGCAGTAAAACAGTGTAGACTTAACTTAGCAAAATAAATTATTGAATAATCTCCTTATTCTCTAGCTGTTCTTTTCCATACCAGGATTAGCTTAAGGAATATCAATAATGAATAGAACGTCTGGAGACTTGTACAAAGATTGAAGCTTATTGAATAACAAGAAAAAGAAATAAAGTCTTGCCTTGTTTCAGAGCGGATTTAGAATAACTGAAAAAAAATAATTTAAAAGCCTATTTACTTCAGAACTGTAATAGTAGGAAATGAGATATGTTTGTCAGCAAAAGGAATAGATACGAATCACATACAGAAAACACCAAGATCAACAATAAGTACAAATTAAATATCTCAGAAGTGTATTAACAGAGGTCGAAAAACGTGTTTATTGCTTATAACTTTCTTTATTCTCATGTGAACTTGATGCATTATTGTGCAGACATAGCTCGGCTTTTGCTCTGAACGGGGCTCGCTTCCAGATCCTTTCAAACGAACGCGGGTATCCCTCAAGGTTCTACACTGTATCCTACGCTGTTTCTGATCTTTATCAATGACCTTCCTGATGTTATCAATTCTCATCTTTGCATTTATGCAGATGAAACTACCATTTACTCCTGTATCAATAGAAAACCCTCAGCGCAGACAAAGTTAACTTGGTCGCTGTTCTTGAAAAGAACCTCCAATCTGTGGTTAACTGGGGCCGGAAATGGTTCGTAAATTTTAATGCCTCCAAAACTACAATGCTCTCATTTAACCACCATAGAGAAATTTCTGCCCGCAATCAACATGGCTAATGCTCGACTCCAGGCGAGCGTCTCACTGTGCTTTCATGGCCTCACGTTTTCAACTGACTTCAAGTGTAACAACTACATCGAAATGATATCCGTTCATTTTTATCCTTTCCTCAATCCCCACTTACACCCATCTTTTCTCTCACTTTCACTGTCTGTAATCCCCTGCGTACTAGTGGCGCTTCTGCCTTGCTTGGGGTTAAATAAAATAAAATTTAAAAAAAAAAAATCTTATTTTTATTTGACACGAACCAGATAAAATTGGAACAATTGTTTGGAAGAAATTCTAAAAAGATCGTGGATATTATACACGAGGGTGTATTATACAGGAATACGCGTATTATACATAGGGTCGTATTATACAGGAATACGCGTATTATACACAGGGTCGTATTATACAGGAATACCCGTATTATACACAGTGTCGTATTATACAGGAAAACGCGTATTATAGACAGGGTCGTTTTATACAGGAATACCCGTATTATACACAGGGTCGTATGATACAGGAAGACGCGTATTATACGGTGTTGTATTATACAGGGATACGCGTATTATACGCAAGGTCGTATTATACAGAATACGCGTATTATACACAGGGTTTATTATACAGGAAGACGCGTATTATACACAGGGTTGTATTATACAGGAATACCCGTATTATACACAATGTCGTATTATACAGGAATACGCGAATTATACACAGTGTCGTATTATACAGGAATACGCGTATTATACACAGTGTCGTATTATACAGGAATACGCGTATTACACACAGGGTGTATTATACAGGAATAAGCGTATTGTACATAAGGGTGTACTGTACAGGAGTATATGGGTATTTGGACGAGTGGTTAGAACATTCGCTTTCTGACCATGAGACTCGGGTTTGAATCTGACCACGGCTGATTTGACGTTATCGCGTATCGATCCCAGCGGGCGGCACTTTTGGAAATTGCCTGAAAACCATACAAAGTCTTGTGAGTGAAATTCAGTGGAGGGAACACTTGGGGGCCACCAATTGCTGTGGTAGCACGAAGTCACAAGTCATCGTGACCGAGGTCTGAGTGTGCTGGCGTTGTTCAGATTGTTGATCATGCTAGATAAGATGCTCTCTCCCAGAATCTGTAACTAAGATCTGCTCAGCAAAGTTGCAGTATAGACCACAGGATGGCTCTGTGGGTGTTGAACAAACGCAAATGTGCTTGAGCGAGCGTCTGCAATAGGGATTGATTAGGCGCCCTAGTAGACGGGTATACTTGAATACGAGTGGCAAGTTATTCTTATTTTTCTTCTTCTTCTTCTTCTTCTTATTATTATTATTATTATTATTATTATACAGGAATATGCGTATTATACACAGGGTGTATTATATATGAATAAACATGATTAATCATTAGGGTTATATTTCATCTTCTGCTGACGTTTTCTCTCTTCTAATAAAAAATTAAAAAGTATACACTCAAGATATCGGTTACATAGTAATTACGTGGTAATATCGTGTCTCGATTTCTATCGAGGTAGTCTAATCCATTTTTGACTTCCATATCCCGTCTCCTTATACAAAACGTAACTCAGATTTGGTTGTCGCAAAGCAAAGACTGAACTCTGCCAATCTTCGAAGAAGTAGGTACCCACCTTCTTAGAATTTCAACATTAAGAATTCTTCAATATCTGTCTATATCTCTGAGATGAGGTATTATGATTATTTACACTATTCGAACTGTTATCCTCATCTCCATTGACATATTCACAACGTTTCGATCTGGCCTTCTTCAGGTGATTGGAATTTCGAACCGATCCTTTTATTTTGTCTACGTCTTTATCCACTGGCCCAGTGGATAAAGACGTTGCTTAGATCCAACGACTAGACCAAAAGAGTTGTGAGTTCAATACCAGGCCACAGCAGTAGTGAACCAAAAACTTGGAGAATTGAGTTAAAGAGAGATAACTGAGACATCTGGGAGAGCAATGGCACGTGGAACTAGAACAATCTAACTCCGCTGGACGAAATAAAGGGTTCGGTTCGAAATTCCAGTTACCTGAAGAAGGCCGGATCGTACAACAGCCGAAACGTTGTGAATATAGCAACGAATATGTGGGTGCTCCTGTTTGTGTGGCATGGTGCTAAGTCTTGTTGCCCGGCAAATGGTCTTCCAGCAGCCATTGTCGTGACCTAAAGCAGCACTACCTCTCCTCAAAGCACTTGATGTCAGCCTCCGAGTCTGAGGCCCTCACCGACAAATTCGGGAGGTTTTTTTTTATCAGAAATATCAGAGTGTATTTTCCGAGCTCTCGTACTTTCGCAATAACTATTAGACTCATCCAATATTTTCTAATCCTTTGCGCTATCCTCAGATTTACACCCAAACACTCTGAAACATTCGTATTGGAGCTTCCGGTGAGAATGTCAAACAATGCAGCATGCCGTTTCCAAATTTCTGGCGGAGTGAATTGCGTCATGGTGCTCTTTTTCTCACAGACGGTGTCCAACTGACCCAACTATACTGTGCTGTCAACAAATTAAAAAAGATACAACGCGCATGCGCGAAATGAAAAATGATAAAATGTCGACAATTTACCCATCGCACGGTACATTTATTAATAATTATTAAGGGCTCTGCAATATTTACTTTTTGCCAGTCTTAGTTAAGAATAATAAATATATACGTGGACGACTAACTGTGCAGTAAATTTATGTTTTTTTAATATAATGAATTCAATCCTGACTTGGTATTACGCATTTACACAGAGACAGATAGATAGATAGATAGATAGATAGATAGAGTGAGAGAGAGAGAGAGTGAAATATATAGGGAGAAACAGAGAAGAAGAGCGAGCCCATAATAAAGAGGGAAAGACAGGGAAAGAGAGAAATGGAATTATAAAATAATTAGAGTGAGAAAGAAAGAGAATTTCACAGAGAAAAGAGAGATAGAAAAGGACAGGGCGGAAACAGGACAAGAGAGTGTGAGAAAGAAAGAGAGTGAGAAAAAAATGGAGATAGAAAAATATAAAGGGAAAAGAGACTGAGAGAAGAGAGAGAAAGAGAGAGGAGGGAAGACAGAGAAACGGATGAAGAAATAAGACTAGAAAGATAAAGAAGGAAAGAGATAAATGAAAGTGAGATGAGAGTAAGAGGGAAAGAAAAAGAGGAGGAGATTAAGAAAGGGAATCAGAAATAGGAAAGTGAAAAGAGAGAGAAATGAGAGCCGAGAGAAGAAGACAAAGAGGAAGAGAGAGAGAGAGAGAATGAAGAGAAAGATAAATGTGCAGAGAGAAGTGAGAAAGTGAGAAAGACGAAGAGAATGAAATTAAGAAGGAGAATTAGAAAGGGAGACATGAAGAGGAGAAAAAGAAAGAGAGAGAGGGGAAAACGAAAAGAAAGTGATTAAGAAAGGAAATTAGAAAGGAAGAGATAACGAGAAGAAAGAGAAAGAGAGAGGGAAAAGCGAAATTAGGGAGAAAGCGAGGGGAAAATAGGGAGAAAAAGAGAGAGAATGCAAGGGGAAATTAAAGAGAAAAAGAGAGGGTATATTAAAGAGAAGAAACGAGAGAAAACGAGAGTAAATTAGAGAAAAAGCGAGACAAAGTGAGGCTGAGTTAAAGAGAAAAAAGAGCGACAAAGCAATGCGAAATTAAAGAGAAAATGAGAGAGAAAGCGAAGGGAAATTAAAGAGAAAAAGAGTGAGAAAGCGAGAGAGAGAGAGAGAGAGAAAGAGAGAGAGAGGGGGGATATATCGAGAGCGGATAGTTCTATAGAATGGAGACAGTCAAAAAGATGGAAGCAGACAAATAGAAAAGCAGGGACAAGAAAACATGAAGACACTACAGGGGGCGGGGAAACAATTGCACGAGACGTTAGTGGGTGGTGCAAAGTCGATGATGCATATGAGAAAGAAAGAAGGAATGATGAAATTTTTAGGAAGGAAAATAACAAGGAACCGAAAAAAAAAAAGATGGCGTGGAAAGAAAAGACAGGCATGCGAATGAATTCAGTGTTATTTATCCCGTGTTCAACCAGGGCAAATTTCTGACGGAGCAGTTCGTGACGGAATAATTCGCGTTTTGGTGAACGAGTGCGGGTACCCATGTTGGATGGTCACGAACTGCTTCAAGACATAGAGAAATAACGAAAAGAAATAACGAAGAATCCTGAATGAACGATAAAAAAAAAAAAAAAATCCAAAAAGAAAAACAAATAAGGGCAAAAAACGACAACAACACAAAAAAGCAACGCGAATGAAAGAAAGACTGAATGAATGAAAAATAGAAAGAGAATCCAGAAACGATATAAGATAATAAATAATCTTGGAAAATAAACGAAAGAGAAAAAGAAAAAAAAAAGTAAGAGAAGTGAAAGAGGAATAAAAAAAAAGTAAGCGAAATGAAAGAAATATGTGAAACGAAAGAGATAAATAAAAGAAAGAGAAACGAAAGAAAAAAAAGAAATAACGAAAGAGAAAAATAAAACAATGTAAGAAAAAAAAATGAAATTTAGTAAAAATATAGACAATAATCAAATGAAAGAAAGAAAATAGTACCTCTGTCCCATAATAATTGTGACACTTCAGTCTATGAAATGTGTATGCAAATTTAACAATAGTTATGGGACAATGGTGCAAAGAACGAATGATAGACATGAACGAAACGAAGCAACTAAAAAAGAAGAAAAATACGGAAGAAAGACAGAAACAAAAACGAAAGAAATAAAAAAGAAAGAAAATAGATGAACGAAAGATTGAAATTAAAACAAAAGAAATGAAAAAGAAAGAAAAAATGAACGAAAGATAGAAACTAAAACGAAAGAAATGAAAAAGAAAGAAAAAAGATGAATGAAAGATTGAAATTAAAACGAAAGAAATGAAAAAGAAAAAAAAAACACTAATGAAAGACGGAAATTAAAACGAAGGAAATAAAAAAGAAAGAAAAAAGAAGAACGAAATGTAGAAATTAAAATGAAAGAAAGAAAAAAGGAACAAAAACACGAAAGAAAAACATAAATTACAAGGAAGGAAATAAAAAGGGTGGTGTAAAAGAATAGATAAAAATAATTAAAAAAGAAATTACAAATAAAACAAAATGAATCCCGGTTGTGACAAATGAAAGAAAGTAAAGAAAAAAGAAATTGGTAAGTGTAGCCGAGACGTGGAAGAAGACTTCACGTTTGAAATATAGATTGAACTCAGTAATCAGTTGCAATTGAATTAGTGAAAGAAATTTTCTATCTGCTGCATCACGTCGAAAGGTCCAGAAAGGCAACCAATAAAAAGAAATATGATAGGCAGAAAGCGAGATACCTGGAGAAAAAGAGAAAGAGAAGGAGAAGAAAAAAGATGCGAAGGATTGGGGGTGTATATAAAAGGAAGAGTCAAGCAAACGAAAGAGAGAAATTACGACAATGTTAAATACAAAAGGAGTAGATAAAGACAGGAAAGGAAAAAAAAGATACGAAAGCAACTATAAAACGACTGACAATAAAGAATTAAAAGAAAAATAAATGACAGTAATAAATGAAATTGTCAAAACAGGAAAAAGAGAAGAAAATAGGAAAACCATGTAAGAGAGAGAAAGATTCATAAAGAAAAATGAGACAATATAATTGAGGCAATAAAATTGAGACAATAAAATTGAGGCAATAAAACTGAGACAATATAATTGAGACAATATAATTGAGACAATATAACTGAGACAATAAAATTGAGACAATAAAAGTGAAAAAACAAAATTGAGACAACATAATTGAGATAATAAAATTTGAGACAATATAGTTGAGACAACAAAATTGAGACAATAAAATTGAGACAATATAATTGAGACAAATTGGAACAATAAAATTGAGACAATATAATTGAGACAATAAAAACGAAAGAACAAAGAAAATAGGGCCAAAAGAAGCGCAGGGTAGAAATGAATATGAGAGAGAAAAAATAAAGATCAAAAGGAAGAAAGAAAAACTTGAAAGAAACTGATGTCGTTTTTGTTATTTGGTTAAATCCTTTGCTTGTGATTATATAGCGCCAGTCCACGCGTTTCATAGAAGGATGATCGTCGCAGAGTCCTTCTGGCTTCACTCGCTCAAGAGCATTTTAACCATTGATCCGAGAAACCATTTGTATATAACTGACAGTTTCAGGTTGATTTTTTTGGTTTTGTAGCAATTTGCGGTGTTGAGGGAAACTACATCTAGCGGCGCTTATTCCCTGTCCATTGTTTCTTATAACCTATGCCATTTTTCTTTGCTAATTCAGGTATCTAAAGTTTTTGGTATTTCCTAAATCCATATCCTGGATTTTGGGGATGGATTCAGGGTATGTGACAACCCTGTTTTCATTCAATTTCCAACTCATGATGAAAAGCATACATTAAAATAAATAAAAAAAGAATTACAAAGATTAAAAGGAAGAAAATAAAAAAAGAAAGAAAGGGGAAAACAGAGGCCAAGGGAAAACAGAAGTAAAGATAAAAAAAAACAAATGCAAAAAAAGAAAAAATCAAGGTGCAAATAAAAGGAAGTAAACAAAAAAAAAAAAGATGGCGACAGGAAAAAAATACCTGATAGATTTAAAGTTGTTAAAATAAGAGTAAAATCTTTGAAAATTTAACATTCTGAATATCTCTTTCCAAGATCCAAAAATTTGAATTATTGGCACTAAAAAAAATCTTCCTTGCTGAATTTCCTTTTACTATTTGGTCGTACTAAGCTGGGTTAAATAAACAAAACAAAAAACATAACGTAAAAGATAAAAAGACATAAATAGTGGGATAAATTTATTGCAGCCGGACAAAAGAGAGGAAAAATTGAAGGTAAATAGAAAAGAATTAGACGAAATGATATTAGAATCGAATAAAAGACATTACCAGGGCTTATAAAACAGTAAATTTTGACAAATGACAAGTCAATCTACGAGAGAGCGTGAAGCATGTGGCCAATGTAAGAATTTAATGTTGTTTGTTGATTGTTAATTTTGGAGATACAATCTCCCAAAAATACATAAGGATTCACATTATTTTAGTTATTTGTGATATGTTGATGTGTGTGACTTTCACTAAATTTTGACGAATGAGACGTCAACCCTAAAATAGAGTGTTACATACACATACATATGCAGCCAATGTAAGAAATTAGTGTTGTTGTTTCTGCATTCTTTTGAGGTTTCTTCTAGACTCGATGAATTACTTAATTATCTCAAGTCCTCCTTAATTTCTATCACTTGTATATCCTTGCGTGAACCGGCATTTAATGCTCTGGATGGAGCGGCTTGGGGATAGTAGTCGTGGCTCTAGGGGGCACAGTCCTATGGGTAAAGGAAACTTGGATGAGTTCCACCACGGAATATGTGAACGAGCGGCGCAACATCGAGTCTAGTTCGCTACCTCTTCGTCACTGAGGCCTGTTGGTACAGTTGGTATGACGTTTGCCTGTCAATGTAACTGTCCGGGTTTCAATTTTTGGTAGTGGATGCGCACTGCTGATCAGTCCCAAATATAAGACGAAAAAGGCCGTCCAGTGCTTTCTGCATTCTGTTGAGGTTTCTTCAAGACACGATAAATTACTTAATATATATATATATATATCTATAGTTGAATAGGCGCACCTTTTATTTTTAACAGTATATTTATTTTCGTCTTCCAGCCTGAAATATTCGAGAAATCTTATTTAAGAAAAATGCGTTCTCAGGGAGGATTCGAACATGCGGTCTCCTTTGAAAGTAAAACCGTCATTAGATCCGATGTGCTTTTAACCGATTCAGTCACGAAGAATAAGTTAAGCAAGGCTGAATATTGCCTTTTAAGTACATCCTTCTCGTTTTTTTTACATTCCTGAAATTAAATATACTATTTTTAAAAATAAACAGGACGTCTACTCGAATATGTGTATCCACTAACAATAACATTTAAAGTGATAAAAAAAAAGTCGGATTAATCAATTAAAAAATATATTTTCTCGCCTGAGTCCATCTTTCAAATCTACAAATCTACCATTCGTCATTGCATTGAATACTGTTGCCATATATGGTTCGGTGCCCCCGTTGTTCATCTCGAGGTCCTAAACAAAATCCAGAAACGGATATGCAATGTTATAGGTCCTGATGTGGCATCTCGTCTACGGTCACCTTCTCACAAGTGTCTGTCTTTTCTGCAACTATTTTCACAGCAACTGCTCCGACGAGCTACTTTCTCTGGTACCCAAATTGCATGAATTTAAGCGTGCTACTAGGTTGGCATTACGGTCCCACCCTTTCACAGTGGAAACGGTTAAATGTAGCCGTCTCTTCTTCTTTCTTCTCTCGCACTTCCCGACAGTGAAATTCTCTTCCTCTTACTTGCTTCCCTGGTGGCTATAATCTTCAAATATTCAAGTGTAATGTCAATCGACATCTCCTGCTGCTTTGATCCTGATTCCTGTCCTTCTCTATATCCTTTCCTCAAAAACCCCTCTTTATTCTTGCTCTCATTCTCTTTAACCATTTGCGTGCTAGTGGCACTCCCGCACACACACACACACACACACACACACACACACACATATATATATATATATATATGAGAGAGAGAGAGAGGTGGGGGAAGAGAAAGACATTAATTGATTGATTCATTTTTTTACGGCTTATCAACCCTTTGCGGGTTATTTAAAGCCAGGAAATATCTTCTAGATTGATAGAAATTATGTGGGGAGATAATAACGGTGTAGTGATACCAATTTTACTAATTAACCCATAGATAGGGGGAAAGTGGATAAATGCCCTTTCCCAATGGTATTTGCATGTAACAAACCTAACTGAAATTGGAACTCGACACTTCGATTAAAAATTCCGAGCCATTATCCATTACACCACCCACATCTAGTTCTACAGCTCCTGGTATTTCCAAGCGGTCATCTATCCAGGCACTGAGCAAGTTCGACGTTGCTTAACTTTGGTGATCTACAAATCAACCATTCTCCCTTGCATATTGCTGCCATATATGGTCTGGAGCCCCTTC